GGGATGGGTGGGATTTATTGGGTGGACTACTCGCATGGTTTGCATATGTTCTGTTCTAGTCCTACCCTACTGTGGTAATGCAGTAAAAATGGTTAGACTTCTAGACTTCGAGAGGTATTGTGAGAGTAATGTGTTTTGTCCCTGAACACAACACAGTGACCTGGCCTGGTCTCAAACCCAGGCCTCTTGTAACCAGAGTCCAGTGCACTAACCATATGTAGGGCCACACACATTAAGCTTCCCAAAAACTTAGTTTAACTGTTACCAATCTTTGTTGTTGGATCATAATAAAAGAATACTCAAATAAAGCATGTATCACTGGATCTACCTGTTCATGAGGTACAAATGGCTCGATGATGAATCTTTTAAGCGGACCACTTGCAGCTCCCACCTGCCAAGTAAATAACCATTATATCACCTGACTAGTCAGAAACACAGAGTGAGGAGCATGAAATGAGTGGGACAGATTGTGGGAGAACAGGGAGGGATGAGGAATGAAAGAAATAGGGTCAGGGGGACAGGGTATTTCCTAAGTGTGGGGACAGACTGGTGATACACAGCAAGATTAATTGAGGAGAAACAGGAAATCTTGTAAGGGAAAATGTAGGAAAAATTGGGTGGGAGATAGGTTCAAGAACACAAGGATTCTTACAATTTTCCCTGAATAATATGCTATTCCATTGTAGGTTATCCCTAAGAATTTTGTCAGGTCTCCCATGACAATTTGCCTATACTCATTTACAATCCTGGATGGAGAGAGGAAAGTTGAGGGTAAAATCTTTCCCAGGGCTAAACCCCTCTCTTCCCTCCCCCCTCCCCACTTCCTTTTGACCTAGAGTCCAGCCCAGCATTGTAACCTTTAGGTCAACATACCTCCCACCTTTTGCAAAGTGCAAGTTAAGGACAATTTATTCCTGTCCTCCAGAGGCACCAGAAGCTGGTGTTTCCACCAGCTACGTGTTTCTTAAGCACCACCTTTTAGAACACAAAACAGTAAAAGACCTGTACATCTCACTCTGAAGAAAATAGAATTGCCCCACTCTTGTTTCCTACTTGTACAATTGAGAAATCTAGAATAATAATAGGTGTAGTCACTGTCACCTGAATATCTATCCCCAGTCTCTCCTCAATCCACTTCTTGGCTTCTTGTGAGTTGACATTAACCTTTATAAGACCCAGCTTGCCTCGACGTTTTATGAGCTGATCTGGCTTTACAACAAGTTTCTGGAAAACGATGATACAAATGAATATATTTTATATATCTTATAAATGTTTTGGTGTGTAGTATCACTCAGTATTTTTATGAGTTTGCTGTAATTTAACAAGCATGCAACGAGAGTCAAAATACAAACATGCACATCAAAATACTGTTCTCAGCCATGCTATATACCAAAATATCTATTAAGTTATTTTACTATCCATCTGTTTTATTTATAATTAGTATGCACTTCTTATCACACCAGAAAAGTGAAGCAAATAGTGATAAAAAACAATTCAAAATGGGTACATGTAACTGTCCCAAATTTCACAGGATAATTATGTGTTCTTGGTTTGTGCATTATAAATTATCTACTCTACTTAGAGCAGTTGGGTAATAAATCATTTTAACTACATGTATCAGGGCTTGACACTAACTTTTCAACTTACTAGCCAAGTGGCTAGTGACAACTTAGATATTACAACAATTTCAGTTTGTTTACTAGCCAAACTGGCCAGTGGAAATTGAAAACCACCTGCCAAAACTGAATTTATACGAGTATGTAGCTAGTTAGTTACCATTAGTGTTGAGCCCTGTGTATGTCAGGCAACAGTAATTATTACAAAAATGTATAGAGTTGTTGTAGCATGGTTGAGTTGTGATGTTATTTCTGTAGGTTAGGCACATGAACTTAAAACTTCCCACCTCTCTTTTACACAAAATTTTTACCTTATGATTTTTGAGTAAACAAGATATTATCGTCAGTGTAAAGGGGAACTACATCAGTTCTATGTAGGTATATTCCTGCACTTTGCTATCTCTCTGGTTGACTTTTTTATGACAGGAGTGTTTTTCTAGCTCAAGCTGGATTTACTTCTTAGCTATCACTAAGTTCTGTTATATTTTGGTTTAATACAAGTTATTGCAGCCATCTTCTTTTCACTAAATTTGCAATTCTAAGAATACCTGACAGAAATACATGGAATATAAAGATGATGCTATGCATTTTACACAAAAACTACTTGTTTCAAGTTAACCTTTTCATTCCCCAGATCTCATTAGTAATTCTCAGTACTGTCTGCTATACAATTCTTAAGATAATTTTTATGATGCTCCTTGAAATTTGGCATTGGATCAATTAACAATATAATACCAAGGCTGTTGTAGAGCAGTGCCCAGTGGCCCCTGGCCCCTTACTTTTGCTCTTGGGCGACTCAGAAATTTTAGTCTTTTCACCGAAAACATATGCAGGGCACCCTGGATTTCACAATTTGAGAGCACTGGGCTCCATTCAATTTTCCTTAGAACACAGCCTTGAATACCCTGACTGACATTTTTCTTTACTCTCATCTCTTGACTGAGGATATTTTATTGATGTTGTAAGGAGAGACTAAGGGAGTTTCAGAGTTAAATAAAATATTAGTGACCTTTCATCCCCAAGATCTAAATTTCAATTCTCCAACAGTTAAACATGAATCTTTTAGTGGGAAGTTCATGAGAAATTAGTATTGAACCAAAACAATATCCTGCAAATCGTAATTTTCTATTGAGAATATTTTACTAAAATTTTTGGGAGAATTCATAAAATAATGAGTATTATTAAAAACTGGATCACTGGATAATGCAATTCAAGACTTTTTATTGGCAATAAAATGTTAATAAATGTTACTAAAATGTTATGATTTTAGAAATTTCTCTGTTGTTCAGCTCTGAAATTATACTAAAACAATTATTTGCCTCAGGTTCAGTGAATATTGTCGAATAATCCCCTCGACTTCGTCTCGGGGATTATTCGACGATATTCACCTCACCTTCAGCGAATAATTGTTAATTGTTCATAAAATGGCTGAATAAATATGTGAATGTTACAGTCATAATTACTGGCAGAGGAGAGGTAATTTAAGTAAAAAACTAAGAAAACAAAATTTAATTAATTTGTAACTTATTATAACTTGAAAATTGTACACAGAGTATTTCTCAACTTAAAAGGTCAATGTTGAACAAATTGAAGTTCCCCCTAAATGAAAGCTTCATTAGCATATTAAAATAATCTTTTAAGAAATCTGAATATGCCAAAGTTCAACACAAATTTCAAGTCAAGATGGTTTCAAAACACAGAATTTTTTTTATTTGAGTTTCCTTTCTGTTCCAGATCTTTCATAATAATTCTTGGCAAGAGTTCCATATAACCCCATACATTAATTATGCATAGAGTGTTGCAAAAGAAACTAGTTTATATTTCGCCTTTATGAAATGAATGTATACTTAATGTATGGGGTTATATAGAACTCTTTCCTAATTCTTTAAACAAAGAAAAGCTATTATCAAACAAGTTTGAACTCATTTAAGGCACAAATAACTTCAAAGTACGACTAATGCACCAAAATCCAGAAAAGAAAAACTAACCAATTCATTGGGGTACAAAAAGTAAAGAAGTTGTCAAGAAATAGTTTAGTATGCGTTATAATCAGTGCAAAAAAGAATGCTCATGCGCTAAAACTGATGAGAAGAATGTTATTTATATTCACTTCTTTTCTTGCAAATGACAAGCAATGACGTTACGGTAACCTTGAACGACCTTCATTCCCTATCGGCCTGAGCCCATACTGTCAATTTCTTTACAGCGCGTGGTAAAACAACAAAACGGATAACATTGTTTCGAGGAAATAAAAAATATAAACAAATTAAAATTCTCTCGAAATCTTTTCAAGATTTAAGTAAATATGTTAAACCTCATTCTGTTAATCTAAAAGTAAGATTAAAAGAAAAAAATGTCAATAAACAAATAAAATTCAGAAATCGATCGGGGGATCAAGTTGAATATCTTACGTATAACCCTGAAAATACCCTGAATGCAGTTGAATAGATAGACAAATTTTACCGTATAAACATTGTCTTACCTGGGTTGAAATCCATGGGTTGTCTTTAACAAGATCGTCCCAGTTTGTTTCTTGTACAACTACAGCAAATTGATTCTTGACGTAGCAACTGTTCTGAAGGCACTTTGCCACGAGTGACTTTCCGTCGGTTTCGTAAATGGCTTTAGCCGACATTTTGATTTACCTTCGCGTTTAGACCGCGAAGAGATGTTTAAACGCGTATGGAAGAAATTGCAACGAAATAATCAAGGGTAAAATAAGAGATTTATTTAAATACTTGCTCAATGCCACGACTCCACCATATCGAAAGAAATGCGCGGACATCTCGCCTCATTTGCATGTGTCTGACCAGCCATGTTGCAAGACAGATTACGTGACACGGGCGCAACGGCCACGTAATGAGAGCGTGACAGAGCCTGACAGACACGTGGACTGTCTGACCATAAATAGCATCACTATAAATTCTCGAGAGGAAATTAATTGGGTCAGAATATTTAGGCAGGTTGAATTTGTTCAAAGCTGATCATAGAGTAAAATTTTCATGCATTCGCAAGTTTATCAACCTTAAAGCAAGTTACAACCTAGCCCCTTCAGATTTATCCTGTTTCTCATTTATTCGAAGGATCAATTTGATAATTTGGAAAGGTCACCACAACTAATAAATTTTTTGAAGTTCTCAGAGTCGCTCTCTATACGATCATGTGTACAACATGTGCTACGCGTGCAACAAAACTCCTTCTACGCCCTGAAAGAAGGGAAAAAATGTCTTGAATCAATTCTTTATGTTTTGTTATTTTCCCTTTTTGAATGACTTCAGTACGCCGCTAAAGTGCCTGTAAATGATTTTTGTATCCTACCCTTCGGCCCTATTTAAGAACGCGGGACCGGAAGGTACTTAAAACGCCGGTGGTTTCAAAGAGACGTTGCAAGGACGTTCGTTTAAAAGGTTTTCAGAGCGCCCAATGCGTTCAACTGGATTACACTGAAGAGAGGGTCAAAATTCCAGATGAACACGTTTTTGAACATTGGTTTACACGCTGAGATCTTGCATTCCCAAATACTCCGTAATTTGGTAATTCCATGTTCTCGGTTTGAAGAGTGACTGAGAAGGGAACGTTACGTCACAACGCTCACTTCACGTGTTCACGCATCACTCGCGTGCTTTGCTTGTGAGCCTCGATGGTTCTTACATATAAGAACCGCTTGAGACCACAATAACATCTAAAGTGAACTTAACTAAAACTGAAGCGCCTCAGTTTTTTTTCTTTTTTAATGAAGAATACAGTTGTCATATCGAGGATTTTTTATCTCAAAGCAAACAAACTCTATCGTTTGCAAGTATCTGTAGGGTCGATCGTGATGAACGCAAGGTTGAAAATTTAGAAATCTGCTCAGTTTTAGCCTAGAAATGTCGATCACGAGACGCGTTTCGACCAATAGAGTGCAAGTGTAAATAACCCAAGATCTGTTTCTCTATCAGTAGTCTTCGAATACAGCCAGAAATAACCACAGTGTAATGGATAATAATGTTGAATTTTTATTCTTCTAATGATTGCTACCACATATGCTACCCAGGTGGTATCAAAAGATGTCAATCAGTAAAAAAAGAAGCTGTGTAGGAAACTTACGGTTAAACAAAACGCTCTATCACGTTTCTCTAAATATAAAACGAAATGGGGTATTGACTGAATTTAAATTATCATTTTAATGCGCAAACGCAATTGTCCCCCTTAACTTAAAAGAAAACCCGTCAATCCTGGCAGGCGGGCAACGAGAACCTCAAAGTCCTCGCTTCCCGTCCGCAAGGGATTAAGGGGAGGGTGATCTCTAGGAAGGAGAATAGAGACACCTTGAAATCCACCGGGTTCTCTTTTAAAAAACCCAACTACTGTCGCTCAATTCATAATCGTCAGCAGTTCAGAAACAGTTGAGAACTTAGAAACATAGTTTACACCCAATGAAACGCCTTGTTGACATATAACAAAACTTTTCATTGGCTTTTTCGTCGCATGGCCAATCACAAGCAAAAGCAAGAAGGCTGTCACTTATCAGCTCATTATACACGTGTGAATTGACTGTGATTGGTTAAAACTAAATGCCTTGGCTCCCTCAATTGTAGATTCTGACGCTAAAAAATATTCTTTTATGGTCCAGCCATGTTTACAAGTATTTTAAACTTGAGTGTGATAGTCCCGCTGTTGTCTTAGATTTTCATTGTGAGTGCGTAGAAGTTCAAATATCGCTTCCACGTCGGAAGAAAGTTTACTTTCGAGTTTCTCCAATCTTGTGGAGAGATTATCAAGCTTATTTTCCATCGCGCTGAACTATTTCCAAGAGTCTTTACACCCAAATGTGTCCCTTTTCTCTGTCACAGCCTTATAGCAATTACTTGACACTGCGTCTTCTCTGTGTACAGCCTGACCACATTGAGACGCAGTAGAGTTTCTAGCTTCTGCTTAGATATCCGAATTTCCCAACCGTTCGGCCAGTGGAGGTAATAAAAAGCATCCAAGAGCGGAATTTTCAGACGTCGATTGAGTGCCTTCCATAATGCTATGCACACAATTTGATGGAAGATCCAAGTTGTTAGGTCTAGGTCGCATTCCGCCTTCCGCCAAATCCACAGGTCCATTTAAATAATTGTATACGTTAGTGGTTCCTTGTGGAACGGCGCCCGTGCTTGAACCATTAGAGGCTTTTGGTTTATGATCAACCTCGGTCTCCAAGTTGATGAAGCAGTTTTTGTCCTCTTGAACATCTAGAAAATGCTGAGCAAGGATAGAAGAAAATATACTGATATTTGAATAAGTGTTCGAACAGAAATTACCATCTCAAATTTTTCATGTACACGTAATCGAGGATTAACCTTAAAAAATTCCGAGTCGAATTGTACTAAGAGGTTTTTTGAAAACCACTTTGCTCTTAGTTAAATCAAATGAAGATGTTTAACACAGGCTCGGACCTTATTTAACAACACGGACCTATTCCCTTTCTCAACACCCTATCCAATTACATAACGCTGAATTCCACACTCAACCTCTCATTACGAAAAATGTCGCACCTTCTCCATCTCGTCTCCACGAAGCTTATAAGTAATCTCCAGATCTTTAATGAAGTTTTCTCTGAACAGCGGGTACTGCCTGAGGATGTGCAGTACATCTTCTCGTGAAACAAGCCGCAGCTCACAATACGTCAGTGCCCGGATGCTGGCGTTGGAATTTACCACAGGCCTGTCGGGATCAATGGCAAAATTTTCACCAAACGAGTCGCCTTTCCCTGAATAAATAGATATAAAAAGACAGGAAGTTAACCGAAGTTCTACTAGCAAAAATGTGCTGGTAAAAATATTCGAAGGAGTGATTTAGAAAAACATTTGACGAAAAAAATTGCGATAAAGTACTTCTAAAACCATTAAGGTCATTTTTTCACAATGGCTAAAAAAAGCGTTTCAGTGCCGTTTCGACGTTACCATGATGCCAGTATCAAGTAAAAAAGAATGAGGCTTGAATACTAAATTAACAATAGGTCCTTATGAAAACGCTTAAAACTCTAAATAACTAAGAAAAACTAAACACAAAGTTTGCGGATTCTATACGTGCAAAACTTTTTGTTCAACTCATTCTTTTTGACTTGATAATGGCTTTATGGTAACGTCGAAACGTCGTGGACAATCTTTTTTTGGCGTTTTTTAAAAATGTTATCTTAATAGTTTTACAAGTATTTTCTTTTAATTCTAGTAAACGCGAAAATAGGAACAACATGGCAGTTTCTTGTAACTGAGCAACTCTTCATGGGTGGTCAGTTACAGTACAGCAAGTAGTAGATTTCATCATTATATGACCCGAAAAGCCCCGCGCGTGCTTTCATTGAAAGCACTTAAAAAACAAAACAAAACAAATCAAAACAAAAAAAAGTGGTGCAGACCTTATTGTGATCTTGAGGCAAATATTAGGTTGAATTTGTAAATTAGTCACCGTAAAGAGTTAAAAGCCGACGTTTCGAGCGTTAGCCCTTCGCTCTGACGAAAGCTTACGCTTGAAACGTCAGCTTTTTAACTCTTTACGGTGACCAATTTACAATTTCAACTTAGTTCATAAAATCTAATTACCTTGTTACCCCTACCGATGCAGCAGCACAGTTTTCTAAAAACTTACCCCCTTTAAATATTTTCCCGCCCGACCCAACTTAATGCAATCGTTAGGTTTTCATTAATTTTACGCCAATTGAGGTGTAGGAGAAACTAGATATGACCTACCCAAAATGGCCATGATTATATCACCGCTGAGTACTTCGACTGTTCCTCGAATCACAAAGTACAAATGATTCACCTCATCTCCCTGGTAGATAATGTAATCTCCCGGGGGGAGGTGAGTGGTCTTTATGCGCAGAGCAAGGGCGCGTAAACAACCCATCGGTGCCGAAGTGAATGCTGGGTAAGTGTGCAGAAGGCTTGAATTGAGATGGAGACAAATATCAGCCTGTAGACACTCAGGAAAATGTTTAAGAACCTGTAAAGCGTAAAAGCAGAACTTATGTTACATCGCGGTAAGTGTTACTAAAACAATAGTCCATTTTACAGTTGTGTGCTTGGTTGCCAAGTCTTTGAGTGAGGCTAGAGATGACCTTGTTATGATACAAACCTTGCTGCCTTTCAAATGTAAATCACTTTGTTATCATGCTAACTAGATACAGGTCTCTATCACAACAAGGTCATCTTTAGCCTCACTCTGAATCAAAGGCTTGGCAACTAAGTACACAACTGTAAAATGGCCTATTCAAGTGCTTAGAGAGAGACACGGCTACGTTTCGTCGAGAATTACATCAAGTCCAGCCATAATCAACCTGTACAAGGCGATCACTTCAAATTTTCAAAATGTCCATCCCGCAATTTTGTAAGTGTCCCTGTTTCCAGTTCATGTATTCTTTAACAGTTCAACAAAAACTAGACTTTAAAAACAGCTTACCGCAATTGGCCCCCCCTATTGCTAAAGAACGCATGTACCATACTTGTAGCCAGTCGCTACTTGAACGTTTTAAAAGTGAAATGGAGTACAATAGAAGAAGCCAGTAATTCTAAGCTCCTAACAGGCCACTTTTACGTCGAAAAAAAAAAAACGAGTAGCAACTGGACACAAGTCAGAGTATTTACGTCTTTACGCTCACAAAACAATGAAATGTCGCCTTGTTGATTGAACAAATCACGCCGCTAAAAAATTAACAGTTCTTCAATCACACTTTTCTTTCTTTCCATTCTAAGAAAATAGTCCCTGGGTATACGATGAATTTGATGCAAAGGTTGTCGCGAACGCCTGTAGCGATGTCAATGCGATCCGGTATAATAGCCTGTAGGGCGATAATAAACGCCAAATTCTTATTGTTATCAGTACTTACCAATTCCATATCAATACCATTAGTGTAGGACCACATGTGATGGGCGTAGTCCTCGACTCTCTGCCGAAGGGGATTGGGAATCTGGTAAAACCGGATAAACTCGCGTACTTTCTGCATCTGCGCGTGATATCGGGAGGTGGTTGAGTACAGCCTCGCTATGATGGCGGCTACATTACCAAATATGGCGGCGTAAAATAATGCTGAAGAGAGAAAGACATCAATGTTGTGGGGGTTTCTTTTACATGCTTGTCTAAAACTTTTCAAATGATGGATCTGAGAAAAAGATAAATTTAGCAAAAATCCGTTGTCAAATGTGTTCAATGTTGGCAATAACTTTACTTTGGTAACAATATCTACGAGGTTATTCTGAACCGAGTTGTAACAATATCTACGAGGTTATTCTGAACCTGAGTTGTACGATGATGAGCTAAAACACTAACATCATGGACACTTCTACTGAAGAATGGCAAAACGGTCATGACAATCCACAGTTCAGGGAGCTACATCTTGGTTTCTTCACCTTCACAGATTTGGGCTAAATGTTTTGAAGTTCTTCACTTGGCAATATGTTGTAATCTTTTCCATTCGTCGTAATGTTTTGTAATCTCCTTCAATCAGCAACAAAACTGTTGTCACTTTCCAAAAGGAATCGCAAAATCTTTGTTGAAGAGGCATACCAATTTTATCCCCAATAACCATATCATCCCCCCCATATCATCTCCTGTGCAGTATTGCTTTTGGTTTTCTTTTATTGTGCAACATTACATCGGGATGGGGGGCGGGGAAGGAGGGAAATGTAGCCGACCTGCAGTTCAGTTTAAACCCCGTTTCATAATACTCTTGTGAACGTGGCCAAGTGGATTATTGTGTCAACTAATTTTGTCGCTGATTGTAGCTTTGAAGGTAACAAATAATGACTCAAATCGTGAGAATAACGAGATTCAACTTACATCCAATCAACATAACACAAATGGAGAAAATTTTCTCGGGGTTTGTGTTTGGTGACACGTTACCAAACCCTACACTCGTCAAACTACTCAGAGTGAAGTAAAGCGCCGTCACATATTTGGACTGTATATCAGGTCCTGCTGATACATCAGTCCTGTTATATGGCTGCCCAAGCTGTTTACCCAGTGAATCCAACCAACCTATGGCGGTACCATTAGCTTTCCGTTCCAAGTCGCCAATAAAATACCATATACAGGCCAACCAGTGCGCGAGTAACGCGAACGAACACATCAGGAGTAAAAGTACTGCCATTCCGTATTCTGAATAATGATCCAACTTCCGAGCGACTCGGACGAGTCGTAAGAGGCGAGCTGTTTTAAGGAGACCGATTAGTGTTGTTGTCTGTGGAAACAATACACAGAAACTGATCAATCAGATCTTTAGCGTTTCGACAACTCCAAGTAGATGCAGTCTTTTGATTGCAATTAGTTTTGTATTTGTTAATAATGTTATGTATGTTGTCCAAGTGAATGGTGTGATGGACCATGTATGGAAAAGTCTTCTTTCGAGCCAAGTGCCTCTCTCACCCAGGAGTCTCAATGAATATCGACCAGAAACCTATCAGATGGAATCCTAGCGAGCTCCTCGACGGCAAGGGGGAGAACAGCGGGGGAGGGGGAGGGGGAGAGGGAGGGGGGAAAACTACTCTTTGAAGGATACTTTTCGGATTTTCAATTTTTTTTTTTCTAAACTCAATATCCCCCAGGCCTGGTTGATGACAAGAATTGACAGATTTTCACCCGCAAATTTAGTTCAAATGACATATTTTAGTTACTTATCTCTCACTCTTACCGCTCGCTCCGATTTAAAAAGGCCAATACGTTTATACACTCTCCTGGTTCCCTTAACACCCACGCCCAATTTAAGAACATAATGGTCAAACTTTTCACCCGTTTCGGACCAAAACAGCCAATACCTCCGTTTGGGTCGGCGCATAACTTCACGCTTAAAACAACTTTTCATGCAATAAACTTCATTACAAGTTTCATTTGACTTGCGGATGAAAATCTGTCGATTTTAGCAATTGACGAAAGAAGCCTGAAAAACATTCAGGTTTCGACGGGATTCAGAACCCGCGTCTGAGACTCAAAGTCACACTTTAGGAGCGAGGCAAATTCTAAGGTCAGTTGTTAGTAGCGCTCAACTACTTTCTGAGAGGCACAGGTGTTCAAATCCCATCGAAGCCTGACATTTTTCACGCTTCTTTTGTGCAACCGCTAAAATTGAAGTCTACTGCGAGGATCATTTCTTTGCTTTATGTAGCTAATACAGGGGAGAATTCCCCTCCGCCCCGGGCAATATTCTCAACCGCTTCACGCTCCAGAAGGTGCGAGAGGCTTCAACCGCTTTGTGTGTCAGTCTTGTTTGCAATCATAACCTGAGTATTACAACTCCTAAACATTACCTGGTCTGTATCACCAATCAAGATGAGCAATTCAAAAGGAATCGCAGCCACTAAGTCAATGAGTAACCACGTTTTACAATAATGCACGGCAATACGGCATGGATGACTAACAACCTCGTCGTTAATGTCGACAAAAGTCGTTCGGAAGTTGATAAAAATGTCGATAATAAACATGACATCCACTATGTAGTCAACAATGACCAGGGGGTCGACGTAGATGCTGACCGTACTCCCCTCTGTCTCCGTTTTCTTATTGTTTTCCTCCCGGGTCAAAATAAATGAGGCCACATATGGCGTCACAATCGCCGTATAAATGACAAGAAACAAAATCAGCCAGTCCCAGAATGCCTTAAAAGGCGAGTAGTGAAGAATTGTCCAGGGGTGGATTTTGGGAGCTTGGAGCTTGTACTCTGGAAGGACATCAGCACCCAGGGACATAACCTGCAAACACAAGAAGGCCCGAAGTCGTTAGGTACCTGTGTGGAATTAGCTTTCTTGGGACCACGATTACAGTAACCGGTCGGTCGGGTATTGTGTTCAGACAGGCAAATCTCGGCGGTGAACCTAAAACACCATTTTCGCAATGCACAAAGCCTTTGTTTTGAACCAATGGTAAGAGCAAAGCTTTTGATAGTAAATCGTTTCTTTCGTTCTCAAGCGAATACGACTCATTTTCACAAGAAGGGCTTTGCACTTAGCCTCATTTTGAAAGCCGTGGTTTTTAGAACTCGGAAATAGTCTATTTTAGTTGAATTTTGAATTGGTATTGCAAATGAGAGTTATAGCGTTTGACACAGGTTATACGTCCCTCTCCCTTAAAATCCCAATAAATTCAACCTCCTCTAGGCAAGCATCTTTGTATCTCCCTAAAAATGGCGGCATTCCAAAGCTTCCCTAATGGTTGTAAGAGGTAGTCTGAGGGAAGGTTGCATTTATTGATGAATGCCCATTTTTTGATGCAGCGCAATTCGGTTGAGTGTCGTTAAACAAAACCAAACTACATACCACAGCCAATCAGAAGAAAAATCGGAATCACAAGTAGCCAATGAGAACTCAGAGTACAGGCACGTTCACAACCCAAAGGGCAGGAAGACGTGTACCGTCTGTTCTCGACTTATTTCGTTTCGCGTCTGATTGGTTGAGAGGATGGCGTGCTGCGTTTTTCACACCAATCACAGGACGACCCAAACCGGTTATAATCAAATACCGGACTACACTGAAAATTGAAAATTGCTCGAAGCAAGGAACTGTCTGTAAGCATTAAAATGTACGTTAATAGAGGCTTCGTACAAACACACACCTGAGCGACTTTCTCTGTTTTTCTCGGGTGAACAAGACCCTGAGAGCTTATAAGCGTTGAACCTCTGAAATCCATGTTTGTGCCATCTAACCACGGTTTGTTACGAGAATTCCACAACGAAGATTCGGAAACGGCCGCAGAGAGACGACCCTTCATCTCGGGAATATACAACATGTTCCCTGGTTTTGAAGCCGGCGAAACCGAAGCCAGCGGTTTTAAAAGCGATTCTGACTCGCCGCTCAGAGCATTTGCTGTAATTTTCGACATGTCGCTCAACGAACATGACTTCAAACTGGGAGACTTGCAGAAAGTTTGTCTTTCAGGGGTGGAGGGTGAGGATGGATATTCTCTCACTGGACTGGGGGCGGTGGACCCGGTCGGGGTAGGCGGATCCACGCTCATAACTGGGATGAACGAAGGGGATTCTACTTCACTCGCGGCCCCGCTTGACGTGAAAGTGAAGTGTGTTTCAGGATCACGGCCCTGGTCGTCATCATCGTCAGTAGCTGCTGTATCGTAATCTTTCTTCTTCCGCCGAATCGCGGCAGGGATCCTGTTTACTTGTAGTGGAAGTTGGAAGCACGATTCTACAAACAAAGCAAATAAGAGAATTACCACCAAATATAGTTTAGGGAACTCCCCACACGGGTTTACGTCTGAGTGAATGCTTCACATGAGGCTATTTCAAGATCAAGACATGAAGTTCCCAATACGAAGTTACTGGTTGCATGTATCTTGTTCTTATTGTGGGCGTGCCCGAGGATTTAAGCAGGAGTAGTTACTACTGTCGGTGATTGCGACGTTTTTCCAATTTTAAAACCAGCGAAGAGTGAAAGTTGCACAATTCCCCTTGTTTCAATTTTCAGAGCGAAAACGCCGCCGTTCCAAATTGTCCGCTGTGGTGTTGACGGAGTCTAACTCAAAAAGACAATTTCACAAAATCTTGTCGTCACCAACGCAAAACCAAAACAATGTTTCAGTGTTTATGTTATCGGCTGATATTTCCTTCCAAGGTCAATAACTTCACACCATTCTTGTCGACTGGTGTATAAACAATTAAAGTACACAACAGCTTTCATAAATCGCAACAATACTAAATCAGGTAAAAGTCGCGTTGGTCTTAACGCTACAAGACTGTAGCCAACGAGCATTGTTGAGGAAAGAGGAAATTACGACAAACACAAAGAATTTTCACGTCGGGTGACAGAAAAATCACCTTATTTTAACAAAATTAGTCACGATGAACAACAACAATCGCTTAAAAATGTAGCTCGTCAAGCCACGAACAGCATAAAAATCACTTGGTCGAAGCAGTAAAATCTGTAGCGTAAAATGTACATTACACTGTTCTCCATATTTCATCACACTAACTTTTCTTTTTTTTAGCAATACGATTAAAATACTCAATAAATAGCCTTCCTTTCGGCAAAAAATAAATCAAAGGACAATTTCGTCCATTCTAGGCGAAGCAAGAAGACAGAAAACACGTAAAAAAAATGCGTCTAAATTTCCAACGTTCATGACCAGTTGCCGTTGAGAGCAACTGTGTAAAAAACTGATTGTCGAATGTTGGTAATGTTCGAACCACCATTCATCCCTTATTCCGGACAATCTACAGTACTGCACACCATTACAACGCTACACATATATAACGGATAATTATGAAAATAAGATACACTTCATACCGCTAAGTCCAAGCGCTTATATTTCTCCGTTTTGATTTTGAATTTTTGTCGCCTCGAGCGACTTCGTCCAAAGATAGCTTTCCCAACTAACCAAAATTCGGCGTGGCACCTTTAATAGTCCAAATTACATTTATCGTTTTCGAACAATAACTAAATTTCTCAAATTTATATTGGCTGGACGTTCAAAGGCCACTTTTTCCTGAGGCTAGCAGCTGAAATATAAATTGAACAAAACATGGTTCATTTTGAGAAAACAGAACCAATGGCAGTCCTTTTTAATGTGTCGCGTTTCTGGTAGTTTCTTATCGGAGTACGACTGAGAAAGTTCGCATAACAAATCAAGTCTCAATACCGGCGAAAAACGTACAGCCCGTCTTATCATAGATTGATCGAGCTCATGATAGCAAACTTCACCTGTCGCGTTAAAAGCTTTCCGAAGAAATTGAATAAATGAATTTTAATCATATCACTAACAGCACAAGAAAGAGATATGACAGGGGATTCGGTAAACTCGAAACGATCACAATACGATTTTTCAGTAACAATTAATTTCCATGAACAACGCAAGCCTAACCAAGCCATCAGTGGAAACGTAAATTCTGGCTTCAAAGCAAGCCATATCAGATAGTAAGCAAGGCTTCTGATTGTTGTTATCGTGGAAGCTTTCGACCAAAGGGTTCATTTCATTATTTAATTGTTTTCTTTCCTCATTGAAATCTGTTGAAGGCACTGCCGATAAAGTATACTTCACGCTGGTTAGTTTTGAGTCGATGTGTGAGAAAGAGCCAGATGTCTCGCTACTAACAAAAGCACATAAATTTGTACGTCAAAAAAATTAGGCTCATGGTTTGAAGTTTTCTCAACACGGAGGATGCATCGAAAGTTATATGATGAACTCCCAAAGCGAGAAAACAAAATTATTTTATAATTTCACACCAATCTTTGGCCCGTTGCCGACATCTATTAATCACTCGCCAAAATCGGTTGCTTTTAGTACTGCAAGATTAAATAATTTTATTTTCATCCCCAGCCCCCTTACGGGTTCTTCACAAAAAGTAAACGTAAACTTATTTTCCAGCGTCTGAATTTCAGCCCTTCATTTCAGAGAATAAGCTTGGAATACAAGAAATTCCGAGTGGAAGTTTTCGTGAAAGCTGTCGTGAAAGCAAAACTTGTTTCACACATTAAAATAATCGAATCGATCACTTAGACCCAAAATTATTTTAATTGAAACGAAGTAAGATGCAATAGTTCCTCTAATGTCCAATAAGTATTCGGTTTAAAGATTTTAAAAGCTCTGTAGTAAAATATCCGCCCTCAGATATATCACTTCAATTCTTCTCCACTGCCGCTCTACCAAGATCCGGACGAGGACGGCTGAGTAAACATAGAGAATTAAGATATATTTAAGAGAATTTTTATCTTAAAGAATTATTCTTCGTGAGGGCCAAAAATTAAACCAAAGCCTATTTAATCTTGTTACATAGTCCTTCCAGTGAAAATTTAGCCTTGGAACACAAAGCGAAGAGCATTAGAAAAAGCACATATGACATTGGCTTCACAAAAATAAACAAAATTGAACGAAGAACCAAACTGATTGCAATTTCAAAGCTCGTTCCGTTTTCTCACGAGCACATTTTCAATGACAAATGTTGGTTTTCTGCGTTCCTCTGGTAAGAATTAGTCATGACAAAAGAATCCATCGAATTTTGCGGCAGTTCTCTTTTTCAAACCTTCGAAATTTCCGTCACCTTTCGACAAAATGTGATCATAGTTTCAAATTTGATATAATTCCAAAATTGTTCTCACATATAGGGAGCTTTGGATTATTTTCTGTTACCGCTTTGGATTATTTTCTGTTACCCCTAATAACAACGATTTTTAAAGCTAGACCAGTGCAATCTAAAAACACTTCTTAATTATCTTAAGCCTCAAGCCTCAAGTAATCACAGAGGAATGAACTGCTGAGAGGGAAGCCATCAAAATGCTACAGCCGAAATAAAAAAATTATACTCTCGTAAGTTTCATTTGAAGCGAAAAACTTTCTATGTTGGTGACTTCAACGATTAAAAAAAAAAAAAACCAAAAAAGCTTTCCGTTTCATCTACATAGCGTACCGCATTGTTATTTGATCTAATCTGCGCTCAATTTTGGCAACCGACGATGCAACGAAGTGTTTCAAAAATTCCCGATCCCGGTGTGATTCTGAAGGGCAGATTATGAGCTGGTATTTAAATGAATACTTACCTTTTTAAGGCGTAAGCATTGAGATTAATGGGCAAAATCCTCTACTAAAGGCATTAAATAGAGCTTGTGCACCGGAAAAAATCCTTGGCAGTGTGTATGCAAATTATAAAATAAATGTTTGGTTATAGCTGCTTTGAAATTATCATGTGGTAATCAATCTCCACCAGGTTGGCTCATAATGTTAATTTTCTGAGAGATAGAAGTGACAACTTGAAAATTACAACGAACTGATATAATAAACAACAGCCTTTCTCGGCGACAGTCGTCAAACTTTTGGTTTTATGGTATATCGTGCCAGTCTCAGTTTCATTATGGTCAGATATGGATTTCATGAATCAACGCAGTCAAAACAAAAACTTGAAAGATAAACAATATGCCACAAAAAGAGAATATAGAAGAAAACGATGAAAGAAAGAACATGTTAGCCGCACACTGTTTACCTTTACCTATAACATCTTGAAGAATTACTTGAGTTTCAATTGTCGTTGGTCTTGTCCTTTTACGAGCATTATCCTGTTTGGTATTTCCCTCCCTGCTTTCTAATTCTTCTAAACTTTCTGTTTAGCAAAATAACATCCGACTACAAAGAGAAACCTCTTCCTCTCGCCCTGAAAGAAGCGCGGAAAATTCGCGACAAAAGGAATCCACACCCGGTTGTTCGAAGGGTGGATGACACTTTCCACTGAATAAATCTGCAGTACGTTTTGTGAACGTTTTTGAGTACTTATCCGCTGAACAGCAATTTTTTCATTGGATAGCACTAACTGCCGGCCCAACGAACAACCAGCCCAGCCCCCTCCCACTCCCCCACGAAAACAACGAGCTCGCCCCCTTCCCTCTCATACAAAGGCGATGAAAATAAAAATGCAGCAATAGTAACGAAGGGCGTAACTTCTCTAGTAGAATTTCCGAATAGAGCAGAAGCGTCAACATCGGTGTGACGGAAATATTTTTAAAAAATGTTCTCTTTTTCTTCAGCCAGAACTTTACATCTACTGATATACGAAGGGCAACGCGAAACTCGAAAGAAAACGTACAGTTCTCACATACCAAAGAAGGACATTACATTACAACACTCAAACACTTACGAAAATAAGAAGATATAATGGATAAACAGACCTCTCACGGAAATTCAATCAAAATTATCAGAAAAGCTCTTTAGCGCAGGAACTACGACGAATGTTTCGCTGTTATTTGTGTAATCTGATTTGTCCTCTTCAATTTATCACGTAAAATTTCAAAATTTTTCCAACATAGTAAACACGAGGTACAAGGCAAAACGTGCGCCAGCGAAAAAGGTGGAAAATAAAAAAAAAAATCCTTTTGAGCCTACTCTGAAAACGAGATCAAAAATGTGTAATAAAAAGATTAATAAAGTAGGCCTCGACTGTTAAATCTGATAATCAAGTTAAATATCTAAGACTCATTTTTTATTCTAATTTGAAATGGAAACCATTTTTACACGAATTGAGCAAGAAGATTTCAAGAGGCATTGGAGTACTATGTAAACAGAAACATATTACTTTAATTATATTATTCACTCATTTACCCCTTCCTCACCTGCGGTCTCTCAATTTGGGGCAATACTTATAGTTCTACTCTCAGACCTTTAATAATTCTTCAAAAGAGAGCAATGCGTATGCGTACCATAACTTTTTCGGTACCAGATGATCACTCTAAGCCTCTCTTTAAGGAATTAGAGATTCTTAAGTTAACTGATCTTGTTACCCTTCACGATGCAATCCTTATGTATCGTATCACTATCACCGCAACCTTCTTCCATCTTCCTTTGAAAATGTTTTTCAAACAGTAGCATCCATACATTCATACAATACCAGGCTTGCTTCTAAATCAACCTATTACATCAATACCATCAAAACAAACTATGGTAAATTGAACTTTCGTTTTGCAGCTGTAAAAGTTTGGAATCACCTTGATGAAAGTATTAAACACCTCCCCCTTAAAACGTTTAAAAACAAAGTCAAGTTTAACATCTTACAGACTTACTGTTCATGAGTCAACTAGTACATATTTATTCATTTATTTTTACTTATATTTATTTATATATATATTTTTTCTTTTATTGAACTATTAACTGCTTTGCTCAAGCTTTAGTGCCAACCTACCTTTTATACTTAAACATTACTCAGTTTTACTCAGCTCGATTAGCTCCTTAGTTATTCTGAGTAAATGTCACGTCGCCTGTATTTCTAGATTACGTTGTGAATTAAGTTTAACTTATATTTTTGGTAATAAAGCTATTGTTCTTGTTGTTGTTGTAGAACGAAAAAAGCTAAAGGTCTGGAGAAGAATTTTCTAGAAGGTGATCCAAATTCAGCATTACAGGTAAAAAGGTCGTGTGACTTTTCCACTTTCTAATCCCCTCATTTTCCCCATTATGCCCAAACCCAACCCTGCAGTGTCAAAAGCCACACATGCAGGGTCAAATCTGCAGTGTCAAAACTCTGTAAAATAGTGATCAATAGGCTAGCCTCCCTCCCTTTTGCTGCTGTAAAAATCAAAGATGGCAGCAAAAATTCACCAAAAACATTTTGAGCACTTGCTTGCCAAATTCATGCCTGCTCTGTATGCTACATGAATTTTTCTTGTCTCTAGTTTGTTCTTTCCCTTTAGATCATAAAAGACCCATGCAAAACCCTTCAGAAGTTACGTAATTTCAGTATTTTAAAATTCATTGTAACAAAACAGAGTCTCTCTAAAAACTCTAAAGAATAAAGAAGAGAGTACAGCTTCAGATCGAGGTCTTTGGTTTCATAAGCCACAGAGCATTTCAAAACTTGGGCGGTGTAGGAGGGGGACCAGGCTACCTCATTATAAATAAAAGAAATGCATACCCTTGCTCCTTTTTCAGATTTCCCAAAAGTGGTGTCCTTTACAAAGTTTCATTGGTACTAGCAAAATTCTGTGATTCTTGAAGTGTTTAATGTGTACATAATTGATTCATGAGACTACACATAACTATGCTGTGCTCAAAGACTAGCCAGGCAACATGTTCTTTCACCAATCCTGATTAAATACCTTGTTAAAAAATAAAAATATTGCATATTTTCCCAAACCAGCCTCATTCTGCACACGCATACATGGGGTGCACTCCCACCTTTTTTTTTGTAAGTGGGGAGGGTGAACAGCTTTCTTCCCCACGCCCTGCTCCCCTGCCTCTTTCGTTTTGTGTTGAGTTTTAAAGTATTGATGTTGGAACATTGATAGTAATGCCAATACTTATTACCCACCTGCACTGAGAAGAGTTCAAATATCCTGCAGTTTATCCCACAGTTAATTGGACAGTTGATTATGTTGCAAAGTAAAAAACCTTTTCGACAAGTTGGCTACGTTTGTGTGGGTTGTTCCAAAGGAAGGCACATAAAATAATATTACATGGCTCTACACTAACTTTTCAACTTACTAGCCAGGGGGCTAGTGACAACTTAGATGTTATAACAATTTCAGTTTGTTTACTAGCCAAATTGGCTAGTGGAAATAAAAAACCACCAGCTAAAACTGAATTTCTACTAGTCTGTGGTTAGTTGGGTACAGTTAGTGTCCAACCTTGCTATGAAATGTTTTGTGAGTAGTATTGCTGAGTATTTTAATTGATTGTATGTATTAAAATACGTACTGCTCAACTCAAACAAAATACTCAGAAATTACTAAACTATACCAAACCATCTAATAATAATTATACCTTTACATACAACAATAACAAAATAAATAAATATATACATATATTATTATATTTAACAAAAACAATTCATACTTGTTGAGGTGACATCCTCTTTGTTTGGTGACCATGTGACATCCTCATGATTGACTATGTACATTACTGCTGTTCCTTCTTCATTCTTCACTGGGGCAATCAGAACAGAACACAAGAATGAGCTTCCTGCAGGAAGATACACACAATCTCCACTTTAGTTTAAATGTTACACTGTGATCACCAATTTGAAATCTGCAGTATTTATCAAACAGCATTGTGTTTCAACTGAGAATGGCACATTTCAGTTATGGTCATTTAATTTACAAGTAATATGGAAAAAGCACAAACAGGCCTGGTCTTGTTGAAATGTTTTCACTCAAATGGCTTTTACCCCAGGACAGAAAACTTTATTGCCACAAGAATATTTATTAAATCCCTTGCCACTGCTGTGAGAACAAAGCTTAATGCCAACAAAGACCACATAGCTATAACACAGAGTGAATTTAAAGGTGCTAATCAGTGTTTTATAAAACAACAGCCTCCTGCTAAAAGAAGGAAATTGTTTACAAAAGTAATGGCTTTCTTGAAAGAAAAAAAAAGTATGGATCAACTGGACAGGAGCCTGGCAGATGAATAATTAATCTGAGATGATTAACACACTGCAACTGCCAAGCTTGACAAAATTTACAGAAAAATATTATAAAGCCACAGCCATGTCAAAAACAACCTTCCCAAACTTAGGCTAATTGGCTTACATAAATCTAAATGTCAAAAAATGAAATGAAAATTAAGATGTCACGTCTGACTTTGAAATATGTTCTCCGGAAAATGTAATCTGCAGGTGCATTTCTCTTTCTGGGGAAGGGTAAATGCATTTCAATCTATTTATCAACTGGCAAGAACAAATTTTATGACATATGTATCACAAACAAAGACCTTCAAGAACCCTTCTTAAGAAATTATCCTGTGGTCAAATTACAGCTTTACTTCTGGTCCACGAATCACTGAATGATTCATGCAATTCCAGAGTTTGTTGACAAGAATTCTAATCTTATAATAAAAAAACATAATTTCTGTTATGTTAATTTTTTGGCAGAATATTTCTAGCCACAATGTTTTCAAATCCAGTCTACCTTATTATAAATGTCATTCAAATGATGATCACTTACTTTCTTGCTTTTTAGCCTAAAGCCAGTTCTAATGCTCTTAAAAAAAAAAAAAGAGAATAAAACGAAATTGAAAATGTTAAATAACACTATTTTTTATGAGTTTAACATCAAACTTAAACTGGGCTGTATTACGAAATGTAAATTTATATCAAAAGCAGTCCATAAGACAAAACAGATGTATATTGAGTTCTGCTTTTGTGCACTGCCATATTTATAACTGCTCAACTGCTTCTGCAAGAAGTTCCACTTTCACTCAGTGCCTCTATATTGAAAAAGAATTTGATCTCGGAAATATGATCTGATTACGAAGTACATGTAAACGTATATAGAACACTTTTTACTTTTTTCTGGTCATCTGATCCTAGTTTTCAATAACAAAAACTCAATGACTCATTTTCCTTTTAAAACAGTGGAATCAACTACATGTATACATTGAATTTCAAGAAAATAAGGTCTCTATTCAAATGTGAGGGACTTTAAAATGCTTTAAGTGAATGGCTTATTTCATGAAAGGATAATTCTATCGTATAGTATGAAATTTTCAAATTGGATTAAATGTCAGAACTATGTAAACTACAAATGCATACATCACCTGGTTGACAACCATTTGTTCAAGCTGACATCCATTATCTTTTTTAATTATCATTAAACAAAAATTCATTTTAAATATAATTTTTGGTATTATTTGCTGATCCACTACACATGTATGTTTTTCTTGGGGCTAAATGTACAACTTAAAAGGCATTTCGAAAATTGTAGACATTAAAGATATTCTAACCTTGAATGATTTTACACTAATACTAATCCAATTCAAAATTTGGTGCCAGGGTGACTGAACACTTTTCCAAAGTATGAACTGTTTATGTCTATCAACCCCTCTTTAGTGAAATTCAATTCAGAGTTTAATTCTATTTGTAAAGTTCTTGGAAAAAATTTTGTGAAATTCAGTTCAGAGTTTTAATCAATTTAAATTCTGTTTGTAAAGTACTTGGAAAACATTTAGGGATTTTTCACCTTTAAATGATGAAGTATGAATATAAATTATTTCTCTTCTAAGGGATTAATGCCACGGCATCTACAAATTTCATTTTCCTTTCGTCCTACAACTTTAAAGAAGCCAGATTCTGGCCTCTAAGCTTGCTCAGAATCGTAGTAATTTAAAAAAGTAAGATAACATTTACCTACAGCTGTTTTTCTACTTAATCAGATAACCAAAGTCCGTCACACCACCAAATTAAAGAAAAAAAGATCCTTCTACAACTTTTTGTTATGATTTAAAACGCAAATCTCTCCTGTCGTTATACTAATGTACAGGTTAAAAACTGGAACTGTAAATCAAGTTTGACTCCTTTGGACGGCCCTTCAAAAGTTGTAGAATGTCGGAATTTCAGAACACCATCAGCTATAAAAAGCAAAATTAGGAAAACTGTTACTGCAAGAGGAAAGATTTCACACATATACAAGCTTTATAAAGAACGAAAGCGACAAAAATTTATCAGCAAAACAACTTCAATTGAAACCGGAAATTCACCTATTCAAGAACATCGTTTTGCAAATTGCACACTAAACGAAGCATAGAAAACTTCAAGTGATCAATTAAAAGGCATCACTCTTAATGATAAGATATGGCTCTAAAATTATTTGTAAACAAACAGTATGGAACTTCAGAGCATCTACAATTAGAGAACATGGTAAAAACGTCGCAATTAAGAGAACATACATTTGAGGAAGACAATTTAGCAATTTAAAATAATACGTGTTAACGACATCTGCCTTCATAACGAGACCTTGCGTACGCGTATCTGGTAAATTTTATTACCCCAAGATGTATTATGATTGCCAAATGGTTCGATCCCTACGTGAAACGAATCCGTCTTCTTTGCTTTCACAAATTGCAGAATGTCAAACCAGTAATCACAGTTAATTTTATTTTACGCTACTTCTAAAATAAATAGAAAAACATTGTAATTTAACCCCAGCGCGCCAGACTCAGGCAGAGAATAACTACACCTAGAATTTTGATGAGCGTCACGATTATTGGAGAAATCTTTATTAAACGCGATAAAGAATGAAAAAGGCGTAATCATCGATCTCTAAACGACCTAGATACAGCTGCTTTTCGACGAATGGTCCAATACAGACGGCACACGAGTGATTCTTAATTTAATTCAAGCTTACAAACAACGATTTACCGCCAACAGAGCTTAGTGGAGTGAAATTGAAAATTTATCATTTACTCCGCGGGTGTATGTCACTTTTACCGGCGATCATATCCAAGTTTATAAAATATTTATTGTAGTCAACGCTATCCAAACCAATGTTGTGTTGACTTTTTTTCGCCATAGTTCTTTCTCACCCTAATTAACAGACGAACAGAAAAAATTTCAAAGGTTTCTGCTATCGCTACCATCAGCACATGCCGCGGCTTTTCCCAGCGATTTTTTACTTTTGTTTTCCGATAACTCTATGCTCTGTAAGAAGTCTCCCTGCACCTTTCTGACCTTACCATCTTTTCTGTAATAGAGGATCTCCACGTGTTTTTCTTCATGTCCCTTGAGAGCAGCTTTCACCTCTCGAGCAGAGTACGCGTTTGTCTCATCGCCGCAAAGGAAGTCACAGCTGCAATGTTTTTGAACCAATTCCGCTCGACTATAGCCTGTCAGGTCACAAAAACCGTCGTTGCAATAAATAATGGGAAGATCAGCCACTTGAGCGTTCCCCAGGACAAAGTTTCGGTCCGCTACACGAATTGCAATATGAAAGGAATATGAATTAAAATAACAGCTCGCTATTGTTGAGAACTGAAGGTTTGTATGAATATATAAACGAAACGCCTGTACGTTTCCTAACAATGAACTTACGCGACCCGTCGAATTTCTTGATGATTGTTTGAATGAAGATGTTCTGAGGGGCCACAAGGCCTTTCTTCACCGGCATAGCGATGAAAAAGTCAAAGAGATTCCTTACAAACCGACGTATGCCGCACTCCAGAGGCAAATGTATTTTACACATGTACTGACTCTTCAAATACCCGCTTCTGATTGGCTGCCGTCAAATATTGTGTAAACATTAGCGAAACGAGCATTTCAAGTTCCTCTTTTGATTATCACGTCGAGTCCCAGTGGAAGTTTCTCAACGTATTTTAATTACATTTTCATTTAAATAGAAAAGAATATCTAAAAGCATATAACGGAGCTTGAAACGTTGCGAACGGATTATGGTAATAAGCGGGGCCCTTTCTCGTGTCAAGAGTCGGAATCATTGTTTTATCCTAAGAAGTTTTGCCGGTGTATATAAAAATGTGTTTTAAAACAATTACAAGCGGTTATTTTTTAGAAGCGAGGTTATTATCTCGCTCATTCTTTGCCTCGCATTACAAGAAAGCAGACTGTCTATTCATGATATCGATGACAAAAACTTCAAGGTGTAAGATATATAGTATCCTGAATAAATTCAAATCCATTCTTGAATCGAAGAAATGGCTATAATGGCTATATCAAAGTCTGGTATAATCATGCTGTTTCGTGACATGAGCACACTTTCTTTCCTTCTGTGTAAACAAACCGACAAGAGTGCAATTTGCCAATTCCTAATGACACCGAAAATCTTCTGCCTTCCGTTGAAATGGAGAGCGGTTTTATTTCTCGATTTAGCAAGATCATGTATGTCTACCAAATTAAAATAACAGGAAACTTGACGCTAGTCATTATAATTAACATTAAAAGCGTAGTGATCTTGTTATATTCTGCTAAAATGTTATGAGGATTGATTGCAAGTTATTCCAAAAATTAATATGAAATATGCAGTTTTTCATAATTATCTGATATTTAATTGCAGCCTTTTGATATGCTTCTTCTTCTCCCGATTCTCGATCCAGAAAAAAAATGCAAATAATTATAAGCGTATATAAAAATATGTTTTCTTCTAAACTGATGTACAGCTGATAACAAATAGAAATTGGTATGAAAATAGGCATGATACTTCAGTGGGGGTGGGGAGAGTAAAGCTCCATAAGCTTCAGGTGGTTCAGTTTTGTTTCATTGTGAATTATAAAAAAATGACAACCGCCATTTAAAAATATTCATGAATAAATATGTTATTCAGGAATAAATATGTTATTCAGGAATAAATATGTTATAAATTACTCTTCTCGTGACTGGGTGCGTTTTAATAGGCGGCAGGAAGGAAGAGGAGGGTGGTTATGCTGGGGTAAGAAAGGGGTGAGGATGTACTTGCGCGGACTAGCGCGCATCACTCCCCGCGTGTCACATGGAGAGAGATCTGGAACTAAAAGATAAAATGGCGGACGAGAGTGGCTATGTACAAGCACGTTTCATAACGAAACAAACCAAGTAAGGGCGATCATTTGAAGGTTTTTGGAAGACGATCACTCGTGCATATGTTATATATAGAGAAATGTGTTTTGAAATAAGGAATATTTGCATGATTGCAGCACACCGTTCTAAACTCTAAAGCAATACGCAAATTATGTCAACAACCCTACGAACCACGTGGAAGACTGAGATCTGACCAATTACTCCCGATTTTTCGGATGAATATGTGATTTTTGGTTAATAATATTTCTATTATTTCTATTATTTTATATTTATATATAAGCCCATTTTAAGATGAGTTTCTTGGGCCTATACGACAGAATACAGATTATTTTCACTTGATGTGAAATGTTATATGTTATTTGTCAAGATGATTGTCTGTGATGAATGCGTCAATTCTCGTACAGATATGCTGTCTCAGAGTCGCCATTTTCTGTGCCGATGAAAGTTGGATCACAAGAACTCAATGAACTTATCAGTAGTTTGCTGTCATCAAATGGTAAATAATCATAAGTATGTCAAGTTCGCTTCGTTTCTCGGAGACTTCGTTTTATTAAATGATCGACGTATCTAAAGTATACATTAATTGCAGGATGCTCCATTACTAGACTGCATTTATTTCAATTAATTGCAAAGGTTAAGTGGTCCTTAAAGATGGAGCCTTAGAATGCCTCTGTGTTTTGTTGTCAGATGTGTTCGTAAAACTGTCTTAAGGATACTGTAGACCTTTAGCTGGCGTCCTTCGCCAAAAAAAAAATCGTGAACGCGTTATTTGAAGCGTAACAAGAAAAAACTATTTATCAATGGAGGAGTTATCAACTGCACCATCCGGCAAATCTTCTTCCGTCTCACCTTAATCTAATCGTGATCCAACCGAGGTGCGACAATTCGAAACAGACGGTGTTTCTTTGAACGAATTAATCAGGCATCAAATCTCACCACGCACATGAAATATCTGTTGGTCTTCAAAACTGTGCGGGGATTTTTCGATATTCCTATTGGTTGGTTTGTAATTTTTTTGACAAGCTTGCTTACCAAAATTTCAGCAAAACCATTGACATGTATGTCAGAGGCCATTGTGGGAGATCAAATAGAGAAACGGAAATTCCTCACTCCCTTTCGTTTGTTGATATCGTGGGAGTCTGAGGCAATCTCTTAAGTTTTCATACCCATTAATTAGTTCAAAGAAGACGCACTTGCTGAAAATAAAGTCAGGTTATTTTTCGCTATGAAAGGTTTGCAAACCTTTTATGCCTTTGGGTGATCGCATGTCAAGATCTGTCAACACTCTGATTATTAGAAACCTTCACTGGCCAATAAAAGCACAGAGGTCTCTTAGAGAGTTTTAGGAGGCTCTCAGTTAAAATATATGTTGCAGAGAAACTATTAAGGAATTCTTTGTGGACCTCTGTTCAATTCTGCATGCTGGCAATTTTTTCAATTCTAAGGATTAAGGAACTTGAGCTTGCCACAACTTGGTAATGGTTACTGATCAAGCGCAAGCGGCAAAGACTGTGTAAACCACCCACCCTCATCTGTTTTGCTATATCTCCTCTCCTTTTTATCTTCCCCCATTCACATTCCTGTCTAATATGCAATGATTATTGCAAATATCTCCATGTGCAAATGAAAGCAGGAGATGTTTGTGAAATAAAAGAACCTTTATGTTTTGCCGACATAAACATCTCAGGAATAATTTCTGTTGACACGTTATAATTGGTTAGTCACATTGCGACAGATTTAAGAATGCAATTTGCAAATAACTTGTGGGATTCCATATTTTACAAACATTGTTCATGGAAATTCTAGTCAAACAGTAATGCTTAGTTTGATGTGGAAAATTTTTTTTAAAAATTGTCCCTTAAAGTTTTGCCATATCCTTTTAAACTACCTGTAGGTGTTGGGTATATGGTGTGGATTACTCAGTTTTGTAAGCAGCATGCATCATGAAGATATCACATGAGAAATCATCAACATAGCACCTTCCCACAAATAAGAATAATATGACATTATGGCCCTCCTGTGGCTTAGATAGGTACCAGTCCTCCTCTCACGGTTGTTATGGACAGCTCATTCATCAAACTACATATACATGCAGGATTTATTGCAGTGTTAAAACTTTTTTACCACACTTATTTTTTTCATTTCTAAACATGGTGGATTTGGAATATAACTACAAGTGCCATTTGTGCTACTACAAGAACTTGAGGATCAATTCCAAAATATTAATTTACCATTTATTTTGATGTTCCTGCACAGGTTTTATGTAACAGAAAAATATGAACATGCATCTGGCTGCAATGTTAAGAATTAAAATAAGTACCTCACTTGTCTTAGCCTAAATTGAAATTAGCACCCAGAGGAAATATTTTAGGATTACGATATAAGTAATAGTTTGTGTTCTATGAACCAGCTGTGCAGAATACTTTTTTAAAAATCCTTGAGTGACCTAGAAAAATTTTCTCTTTACATCAAGCAAGCAAGTGATGAGGAGAAAGAAAATAATATCACTTAGGGGATTATTAGTTGGTCCAATACTAAATTCTCCAAACTTGCACCATAAGAATTGTATAGCAGACAGTAAGGAGAATTACTAAATGAAATCTTGGGAGTGCAAGGGTTATCAATTAAGCAGGTTACTCTATAGTTGAACCAGACAAAACAGGGTGTTTTTGTTTAAAGAGGGGGGTGAATAGGGGTATGCAAATCCACCGATCTGCTACGATTTGATAACCAAATCCGTCAGTCCATTAAAAAAAATTGTTAAATCCGAATCCGTTTGCTGCTTGCCTTGTAAAAAGGTGAAAAACACACCTTGAGCTGTTGTGTGTTAGCTAGGCAATGGCTTTCCCATCAAGCGAATTGCAATAGGTGGGGTAAAGTGTCACGGATAAGGCCAGGGGGGGGGGACATATGAAACAAACGGGGATGCTCGTCTGAAATTTTAAATTTAACCCCTAAAGGAGACCATTTGGGCGTGGCTTAAGCAAATTTTGACCCCTAAAAGAGACCACTCATGTTCATGCATTGTTTCTTGGCACTTGGTAAAATAGAAAACTAGTTAATGTTGAGGTAATACAGTAAACAAAACAATTTAAAAAGAAAATTTTACTTCTGTTTCTCTTCGCATAATTCTGTATTTCTTCGTGGAACCATAAATGAGACCTTGGCAGCTTAAAATATTGGTGCTTTGCCTGGAACACCCTAAGCGAGACCAAAATCCAAAATTTACACCCCTAAGTGAGATGACGAGCATTCCCGGTTATTTTTCATATGGGAGTCTCCCCCCGGGGGATAAGGGCGCAAACACAGCAGATATCCCAGTGCGTTACTATTTCCCTGATATGTGGCATGCAGAGAGTCTTGTCCGTGACAAAAAAATACACATACTCAGAAAACAACGAATTTCTGACGATTGTTCAAATCCACAATCCGAACTTCCTCACAAGTAAAATCCAAAATCCGGACCTAAAAAATTGACAAAACCGCGAACCGTTGCAATTTCAGAATCTGCAAATCCATTAAAATTTTGCTCTAAATCCGAAATCCGGGCAAAGTAATTCTCAGAATCCACCGCTCCGTTAGCCTATTGACTCCCCTCTTTAAAAGTACGTGGTGCTGAATGTATTGTTCTGGCTTCAGTCTATGTTAACTTTTTTTCAGTATTGTTAGGTAATGGAAATCTTACCTTTGTCATAGATGTTGGAACATCTGAGTCTGATACTGAAAATGAGAGGAATTTTCAGTTTGATTTCCTCATTGATGGAATTTACCTGCAAGAAACACTTGACAAACACATGAGGCTCTACAACATCTCAACTGTGAGTGCAATCTATTTTTCAATAATTATTAGAATCAGTGTGTGTGTGTGTGTGTGTGTGTGTGTGTGTGTCAGCACAGTGGTATGTAGAAATTGGAAGGCTCATTGGCAGAAATGTCCCTTTGATTTTTTGGCCTCCCTTGAAAATACCCCAATGTTCAAGGGTCAGGGGCAGGAGTGTCCCTTTAAATTTTGGGTTCCTATGGAAGTGCTGTTTTTCAAATTAGGGAAACCACTAAATCATTAACTTACTTAACATGGCTTCTGTCACAGGAAAGTGTGGTTGAAATAGAATACCTTGAAAAACACCCAGCACCACGACCAGATAACTGTCTTCTTCATGATGACTGGGTCAGTTCCATAGCTGTTTGTAAGAAGTGGTATGTTACAATGTAGGACTCATTTTTAATTGAAGATTCAGTGTTAATAGGTCATGCCCCAAAACCCTCTGTTAAACCTAAGTTTTTTTTTTAAGATACAAAGCTAATAATCTTCTTTAAAAGTTTTTAGATGAAACTGTATAGAGGATAGAAAGGAGATTTACAACTAAGATGTTAAGTTTTAAAGGGTCAAGCTAAAATTTTTATGCTAGCTTGCTCTAATTATAATTAAGAGACACTTTGTTTTCCCAAGAGAATTGAAATTCTGGTCACAATTTTTTTTAACTCAAACTCATAAATGCAGAAGAGGGTTTTATTGCCATTCAATATGAAACAGATTCTCATTGTTAAGCAGTGGTCACATTGAGATGTAATTCCAAAGTACTTAAGTACTTGTGATGAGTGAAAAAATGCTTTACATTGTCACCATTTCCAGTTTTCTGAGGTGAAATTATTTGGCTTTCACTCCTGACAATAGATCCTTTGGGATGAAGAATCTGAAAGGTGAATGTTTGTTGGAAGCATGGTAAAGATACACATCGAAACCAGTTGCTAGTCACTTTAATCTGCCTAATCATTCCAAGTAGCACATGGTAGTCTGTGGCCTTTCCTTTCATCTAGGAAGTTCGGAAAGTTGCATAACTCTAGAAAAAAAATTTATCTTTCAAATTGGCACTCTTCATCTCCAGGGTATCAAGGAATGCTTTTCATTGAACCAGTCGATTCTTGTTTTTCTCCTTTCCACATTCTCACCAATAGCTTAGTTCCATTTTCTGCATATAAACACAAACACACAACCCACAATTCCTCCATTTGCTCTGATGAAGAGCTTATGCTCGAAACCTCAGCTTTGAAACTTTTTACAGTAGCCAATTTACATTATCAACTCAGTCAATAAAGCCAAAGTTACCTTGTTATAGTAAGGGTACAATTTTTTTTATCTCTCTGGATTGCTCATTTGATCTTAAGATTGTACAGTTCTAGCTGCATCATGAGGGGTTACAGCCCCTCAAGCAAAAATTTGGGGAGACTCAGCCTCCCACTTTTCAGTGCATTTGATATTGCAAGGAGAAATTCTATGTGGCAGGACTTTTTTATTTGTTAATGAGAAGCTGATTTTTAAAAATGTTCTGGAAAATTTGAGTAGGGCTATGCACTTGGGGAAGAACCCCTTTCCACCCCAAACACACACACACACATCTTAAAGTGTTCCACCACCTCTGTTAACATTATGTCTAACAATTTTAGACTTCTTGAAATCTGGTACTTTAAATTGTGCACTGTTCACATTATTTCCAGTGTTCTAAGTGGCAGCTATGATGGAAATGCGTATGTGTGGGATTTTAAAGGTAAATTCTGATTATTAAGTTAAACATCTCAGAAAATTTAAAACTCCAACCCTATTACTGAGGTTCTGTGAAAAACACAATACAATATTCTTTATACAATACAATATTCTTTATTTAACAAAGGTGACGTAATTAACCCAATGAGTTATCTAACTTACGGCCTTCACAACAAAGCCACCATCCCACCCCAGGAGAGGACATCCATCACACAGTAACCTCGTGCGTGGGAAATTAACGTCTCCTACCCCAACCCTGCAGGAGACGGGACCTCCATTTATTCGTCCCTTTCCGAGAAGACTAGAATATCTAACCATTTCTTGATGTTATAGAAAGGTAGCAAATTCTTCTCAATTATTTTAAGACCTTGGGTGTTGGTCCTGCCAGGGCTCGAACCCTCGACCTCCCGCACAACAGTCCAGCGCACTATCCATTGGGCTAACTGGGTGGCAGATTGACTCCATTGCATCTGGGTGATGCCTATGCAAAGTGGCTGAGCTTTTTAGCCCAATGGACTTTGGAACATAGGGAGCAGGTTTGAGGCCAGGGCAAGTGTTTGAGTTATACCAGTATTCTTGGACAAGACAAGTTACCCTCGCTTTGCCTCTCTGCACTTTGGAGTCTTCATGGGGCTGGTAAACTGTGAGGGAATGTTCTAGCATCCTGTCCAGGAAGGAGTAATACATTCTGATGAAACAAGGGTGTGGCTTGGCACAGTCAGGAGCCATTAGGCGCGTTAGACATCCACCAAGGGTTATCAAGATTCAAAGGGGTGTGCAGAATATAGCTCCAAGTGACCTCTGATGCAATGGCAACTTCTCCTCCTGTTTTACGTAGGGAGTAAGAGATAATTTGGAAGGGGAATCTAGCAGTCCATCAGAGTTCGTTCAGGGCTTATTTCCATGCACCTTCTCAGTCCTGGCTTGCATATGTACTGTACTAATTGTGATATATACTCTGTTAGGTACCTGTATTTTGACGTTTGATGGGCACACAGCACCTGTGAAAAGTGTCTGTTGGATCAGTATGGGTGAGTGGCCCATGTCCTGATTAGCATCGAACAGTTTGGGCTGGCAAGTGCATGAACAAAGATAGAAATTTGTGGATTTCAGCATTGACGATGATTTGTTTAGTGTTTTTCCCTCCATTGAATTGATTTATTACACGAGGAGGAAAGCACTGAGAGAGGGAAAAGAGAGACATCTAGCATTTGAATTAAGTACTGGGTTCCCTGGCTAACTCTTTCACCTGCGAGCTTGCCTCATTCCGCACTCCACACTGCTTACATGTAAACTATGACCAGTCCCTCCTTTCTGGCGAAGTCTGTCGCGCGAGTCAAAAAATGTCAGCGCTGCACGGACTCCAAGAGTTCCGCACGGTACGCTAACATCAATCTCTTTTTACCCATGAGGACCTGCTTGCAGACTAGAGATCATCTCACGCAAGAGCAAGAGGCTGGAGTAAGCTCTCTCTTTGCTCAGTGCACCAATCATAACGTTGGGAATGCAATATTCGAAGCTGAGAATTTGATAACCGATATCTTGCTAGCTGGTTTGAGTTCGCTTGAAAAACTTATTATCATGCTTAGAACTAATCCCACATTGTGAATTGATGTCCTAGAAGAAAGAGGAAGTGTTACTGTTTTATACAGTTTTTTTCTGTTTTTGTTTTTGTTTTTGTCTTTGTTTTTTTTGTAGATGATGATGTGGGCATCTTTTTAAGCGCTTCACAGGATCAGTCCATCCGCCTCAGTGAGGTATATCCTTACTGCTTAATTGATTCATGCCACATTTTGTTTTGGACCGTGTAAACCTGCCTTCAGCCTGAAAGAGGCAGCTAAATATTAGTTCGGTAAGATAGAAAAACTCGCGAGGGGTAATGGGTAATGACAAACCAAGAAGGAATGATGACGGTGGGAGATGAAGATAATTGACACGGATTTGTAACGACGATCTTGGACAAGTCAGGCTAATTTTTTTTTTTTACAATGCAAAAACTCCTACGCAAAGTACGTTATTCTATTGTATCCAAAACGGAACACGTAAAATGATACATAAAATAAACTTTATCCTCTAAAAAAGATATTACTAGAGCTAATTAGATAAACATCTTTCAAGGTTATGCCTTCTTCCTATGTTAAAAGGACATAAGCCGTTGTTTCGATTTGAACGCGGTTAGTTTGCTCAATTCTCTTCAGCCACCTTTTTAAGGTGGCTTTAACAAAGTTTTCTTCTTTTTAATCCGCCAGTGGTCACGTGGTAATGACACGACCCAATGTATCCATATCTGCAAAGGTCACACACAAAGTGTGGATACACTAGCAGTTGACTCTTCACAAACAAAGGTGAACAGGTAGCACTTAACGAAAAAAACATCTGTTCTTGAACTGGTGCGGCTTTACGTCGTTCAGTGATTGATCTTTACATGTCGCGCCTCCCTCTTAACCAATCAAATTCAAAGCTGCAGCCAATCGCAACTCGGTCACTCGCGTTTTCCCGCGCTTTTCGCTGGAATGTCGTAAAACTAAAGGCGAAGTAATCACAACGGCCAATTAGAACACAGGAAAATATCACGAGGAGCCAATAGGAAACCAGAGTAAAAACAAACAAACTACGTAAGGCACGGAAAACATGAGAGACCAAGTCGCCATAGGCTCGATTACCAGCCGCTGGTCAGGAACCGGAGCCCACGCTCCTCCTTGAACCCACCTCTCTTCTCGGGGAGGAAGGAGAAAGACCGGACCCGAGAGAGCGGCGGAAATCGAGCCTTAAGTCGCCATTCACTCATTTTGTAGTTAAATGTTTGAGGTGTTGCGAGTTTTCTAGGTTAATCAGAGGGAAAAGTCGAGTAAAACCACTGCACCATTGCGCTTCTGCATTACTTTCGACACTGAATTGAAAAGTGATCAAATGTTCCTTGTCATGGGCTTTTTCTATTGCTTTGCTATGGTTTTAGACGCACGGTCGGAAACCGTTCTACAAGTCTTAATTTTATTCGGCCATTGTACTGAGTTGGTCTATCAACTGTAATTTTTAATTTTTATTGTAGTTTTGTAGCGGCTCATGGGATAAAACACTGAAAATATGGTCTGCTGGTAAGTCTCTGTTTATTTGTTAGTTTTTCTCGTTTTATAATCTGTAGGAGGCCTACGGGTGATAGAAGTGTTTAAAGGTGATGAAATGAGCTTGGAAGCATAACATTAGCTGCCAACGAAGGCTGCGAAGAACTGAGAAGCAAAGAGAACGGACGGTCAGCAGTCGTTTAAACTAAGCCTAATCAGTATTATATCTTTAGTTCCAGACCCTTCAGCATCCGATGAAACAGGGGATGAAGGGAAAGTAAAGAAGAAGCAAAAAACAGTGTTAAGCAAAAGAAAAGAAACTACGCGGGTAGATTTGAGTTTTTTCCGTAATTGAGTGAGCTTAAATTTTTATAGTGAGAGAGGTGATTTAAAGAATGTTGCGGATTAGGTAATACCGCGTTGTAGTAGTTTCAGCAGCGATGCTCCTGAATGAAATCTCTTGACGCTAAAGAAACAGGGGCAAGGTCTCGTCTGTTAAGCCGTTTTGCGCGTGAGGAATTTCATGTACAATTTGTAATTAATTTGCTGCATCTGTAGAGCAGCACATACTAGAGGATTAGTGACTCAAAATTGATAAAAGTACCCACTAAACGTAAGTTCCGACAGAGGAAGGTAATCGCCGTCTGCACGGAACCCAGGTTGCGACAGTTGTCATACGGGTATTTCAGTGAAATGCAGTGGCTTGATACATGAGGCTAACCTTTTGTTTTTCCCAGACTCCACTCATGACCTTATCGGGGCACACCGAGGCAGTATCTAGTGTGTTATGGATCGACCAAAGCACGGTTTGCAGTGCAGGCTGGGATCACACCATTCGAGTCTGGGACATTTCCGCTGGGGTTAATAAACAGACCCTGGTAAGTTTTCCGTAGGACTTTTCTGAGATGAACGAAGTCGCACTTCCTCAAAAATGGCATTTTTTTCTTTTTTTTACCTTTCTTTACTTTCAGAATGGTTCCAAAGTATTTTGTGACATCTCATACTCCCCTTCAGCAAGACTTCTCGTTTCCGGTAGCGCTGACAGACATGTTCGTCTTTGGGATCCCAGAACAACCGGTGAGTCGAGACTGGGGAGGAGGTGGGGGAAGGGGTGGTGAATCTCAGGTATTATGCTTTACAATCCATCCGCAAATGAGGACTAAACTTTTTTCCACAACCATTTGAAAATTTCGTATCGTGTTTGACTATTTTGTAATCTAAAAACATAAACTATGACCTGAATGGGTTCAGCACCCTTATTTCTCTTTTAGCGTTCGTTATTAAATTCTGTCCCTTAAATTGTTCATTCGGCCTTGCACTGGAATAGGGAGAGGCAGAACTCAAGATGAGCAAAATCTTTCATCTGTTGTGACGTGGGGTTCTTGTCCTTTTAGAATAATAATATTGAAGCGGGCTATGGTACTCAAGGGGAGGTTAAGCGATTTATCTAGAATATCATTATTATTTTCATTATTATGTTCATTAAAAGATTCTTAGCGTTGTCAGAACATTTTGAATCATTTGATGACGTAGTGGATAATAACCATTAAAACAAGCACCGTGAAATAATCGCCTGTTTGGACGGAGAAAGCGAAAGTGGAAGGAAAGAAATGATAAAGGAACGAGAATTGTTAATGATGAAGGAGATTTAGCACAGATTGCGGATGGTGAAAACGAGTTAGTAACGAAAACGTTTCTTTGTTAGACGGAGCTGTGGTGAAGAAGACTCTGACATCACATCAAGGCTGGGTGTCCTCAGTGGCGTGGTCTCCAAGCAGCCAGTTTGAATTGATTTCTGGGTCATACGATACGACTGTCAATCTGTGGGATATACGGAGGTATTTTAATGTGTGACCCTTGCAGTTGTCCAAACTATAGCTGTTCGTGGGCTTAGTGTGCACTAAAATGTTTTTCCTCTTTCATCGCAAGCGTGAATACACCGCTGTTCACAATGACTGAACATCAGGACAAAGTGATGAACGTAAATTGGACGCAAAACTCTGTGAGTATTATCATGAGAAGTCCAGTAAACGAGGGACGGACCATGTAGTTTTTAAGTGGAAGGGATGTGGGATGGTGGTGGTGGTGGTGATGGTGATGGTGGTAGGGGGGGTAGAGGGCTGTACAGTTAGCAAGATGATATACCACTATGTCTACAATTCTCCTGAAAAAGAAATTCAAATGTAGTTTTAAGCACACCGCTTCCCAAGAGAAGAATACATCGAGGAAGGAAAATAACTCTTGCCGATGAATACATTGTCAATGGACTTGGAGAACTGATAAAGTTACTCCCCCCCGCCCCCCTTCCCCACCCTATTCCGTCAAACTTTCGTAAAGAATGGTCTTTCTTTTAACTCTCTTGTGCCGCGCTATTTTCTTAACTGTCGTTATTTTGTACGTTCATAGAGTATTTTAAGCGGCGGTGCGGATAACCAGTTGATAATTTATGATATCTCTGGGGGACGCTGGAGAACACGGAGCAGTGACATGGAATGACAGCCCAGCCCAATTTGCCAAGTTGTCGACGGATTACGAGGTCCATGATAAATTAAGGCGTATAAAAATATATTAATAAAATCGTCATCATCTTCCTCTCTCTGTCGTCAGCGTGGTTCTTCCTTCAAAAAAGCAACGGGATCACGTTTTTTTACCATTCATACTCGTATCAATGCCGTTTACGTCAATGTGAATAACGTGCGTGAAAGTTGGACGAATAAAAACAGTGATATTTGTTATTACTTGAATGTACGAAAACGACACAGTCGGTAGAGCGAAGGTAATGCATTCAACCACATGCGGCCCAAGCTCTCTTTGAGAACCACACAAGGAACACAATTTGCATATCGATTTATAAGGATTTGTATTGGATTTTCTACAAGATATCCATAGAGATAGTTAAAAATGAAAATATTAAATAAAAATGGCTTACTCACTTTTAACTATCTCTATGGATATCTTGTAGAAAATCCCATACAAATGCTTATAAATCGATATACAAATTGTGTTCCTTGTGTGGTTCTCAAAGAGAGCTTGGGCCACCTGTGATTCAACTTTGACTTTGAAGGCAGTAGAAAATTGAGACATGTAAATGGATAATACTTTTCCGCCTTACATCGTCTCAATAGCAAGAATACTCAAGAATACTCAGGCTCCCTTGCTCAGGCTAAATTGTATACATTGGTAAGTTGAGTAGAGAAATGTCTGAAGAATTATTAAACCGGCGGCCCCAACTTCTACGAATAAGCGTCCATGAAATAAGCTAAAGGGTACTTTCATTTTGATCAGCTGTACTTCCTAATCAGTTGGAGGGACTAATTCTAAATTTCGCATAACAGTTTGGTTCATGTGAAGATTTATCTCACGAGAAAAAATTTAATTGCCGTTAAACGGACCTTAAAAAGTATCATATACATATGATTTTCTGAGAAAGTCACAAGGACATAAAGACGGAATTTTCCCATGAGATTGAGAATATAATAGAGAGTGCCATGCAGCGTACACAACTACAAATTTCAAACTTCAATCCTTTGGTCGGCATGTCAAGCGGTTGGGCGTTACAGGAACTTTCTCCAAATGAGATTGCCATTGGTTGATTAGTGGACACGTGGGCTCAGGTAACTCTGAGTGAATTCCACTAGGGTTACATTTGAACTGAATATAATTGATGTCCAAGACAGAGCTTGTAATCATGGCAAAATATTAATAAGCTTTTCCTCTCTATCAACAGAACGACCACAGAGCTTTCGAGAAAAATAGTTCCCAGAAAATACAGTCAAAGAATTTATTAAGAAATCTAATCTCTGTCGACAAGATAAATTACACAATTTATTTAAAATTACACAATTACACAATAAATTACACAATTTATTTAAAAATCTCTTCCACAAAACCTGAGTTGCCAGGCAAATTTATCTTTGACACTTGTATCAAGAAAACTCTATGTTTACGCTGACTTCATTCCCTAAATAAAGTTTTAAATTCAACAAATTCTCACCGCTAATGCATGAAAATCGGGGGAAGAAATTACAACTTTCAAATTGGAACCAAAAAAAAAACATCTGTTAAACATTGGGCATGCGCAAATGGTTAATATTTTTTTGCAAGCCGCAGGCCAATTTTCCGCGGAAAATCTAGAAAGATAACATAAAAAGCACTAGTAACCCTACATTTGTGGAAAAAGTTGAATCTTTCACATAGATTTGTAAACGGATAAAAGGTTAGGGAAAAGGAAATTAATGAATTCTTGAGCACAAAGTACCGAATGGGTTTCTTATTGATTTATCATTCTGTTTTGATCTTTATCAAAAAAGTCATACTCATGTAAAATAACGTAATTTACTTGCTTGTCAGGTTGTTCATAAGTCTAGCGGGATTATATGGTTCTAAGAGCCTAAAGCAAGCCACCTAGCCCCTACAACAATCGCACACGCGCTGACGTTTGATCGCTGTAATGACTGAACGGTTTAGATGTATAATGTACTACCAAGATATTAGAATCAATTGGTAGTACTTAGTACGTTTTTAAGCTGGAACACTCCATGACGCCTTATGACAGCTTTGAACGTGCGTATCTGCATCGGGGTAAGACGCACGTTCAAATCCGTTTCCTTTCGCGCTGCCATTTTCTTTTTTTTTCTTTGTTCTTCTTTGTTCTCCTTTGTTTTTAGATTCCAGTGAAGAGGCTGCTTGTCTTTCAGCAACTGGTTGGCAGCCAAGTTCATTTCAGTCATGGATTCGACATCAAAATCGGTGAAGAGCTCTGCCAAGGAAATGTTGACAGGTTGTGAGAGCTTGGGATCCTCGCCAGCCTCAAATTGATGCTCGACGCGAATCAAAGCCAGGTCCTTCATGGTCTCCAGAGTCAACAGGTGAACATTGGCAGGCAGCTCACGGGTGAGACCTTTGTGCTGTGAGTTGTACTGACTCGTCCACTTCTTGAACGTAAGGCTGTTGGATGCGAAGCCGAACACAGGGCCCAGCAAAAGCTTCTCGCCAAGCTCACGATGAAGAGCGGCAGATTCCTTGGGCGGTGACAAAATCAGACTCAGCTTTCCGCGCACGATCAAACCTTCACCACTGATCCCTGTCTCATTCAGTGGCTCACCCACTCCTCTCTTGTCGTCTTTAAGAAGCCGGCGGTGAAGCATGACCTCCATGGAGCCATCTTTCATGCTGGACCCGCCCAGAGACCGGTCAGTCAGAATCGTCAGTTGTTTCTCACTGTCTCTAATGAGCATTCGACTGTTGACTGGGTAGTAGTTCTCAGCCACTGGTTCGGTGTTGTTCAGCTTCCATGTTGGTCGGTAGTTCCTTTTACGTTCCTGCATCTCCCTTCCATTAGCATCCGTGTAGAACAGCTCATTGGACTTGATATCCGTGTCAAACCGGGTGATGATTTCTTTACCCCATTTGTCCCCGATCGGGATCGGTCCGACTGTGTATTCAAATTCAGCCTGTCTCTGCCCGGCATACAGCCTGACCACTTGGCTGATGAACGGTGATATCACCTGGCGTACCTCCTGCACAACAGTACCCTTAAAGACTTCTACATTGATCTCCTTGGAGATCAGTATCGGCTGACTGCTGTTGGGTCTAAAGATGTAAGCACCGGACGGCTGTTTACTGGCATCAGTTCCCACGCTACCATTGTACCAATAGAACTCTTGGCTCAACACAGTTGTGGTCTTGGAACTCTTGTCAGTCATAGTCGTCAAGTGACCAGTATCTTCCGAAAAGGACAGTTTAATAAACTCATTCTCGATAGAGACTTCGTCTGCGTCTGCGTAAACGCGTTTGGGGACGTCTTTAAAAATTTTATTCTTCACTGTGGACTTGGTCGAGTTCACGAAGTAAGTAGAAAAACCGAGAGCGGGGACTTTGGCAAAGAAAACAAGTTCAAAAGATGAGTCGCTTTGTTTCAGGTTCTGAGCTTGACGCAGCTGTCTCGTTTCGTTGGAAACTGGTAGCGTTTGACTTTCGACAAGTTTACCTTGAGGGCTAAACACATTCATCGAAGCCAGCGCAACTGGAAGGCGAACAACAGCGTCTGTACCTCGAGCGAGAGGGTTGTACACAGTTACTGTAAAGGAATTGGTCTTTTCAGTTAGAGGACACACGCTGATGTTGAGGTAGTCACAGAATGTCAACGTAGGAGGCTTGATTTCAGGGTTTTTCACTCCAAGTTTGTTAAGGACATTACCAACCAACACCTAAGTATGATAAAGAATAACGTCTAAGTGTTTCTATTTATTTTCTCCGGAGACCCAACAGTAAACCTTAAATGACTCCAGACTTTGGATGATTTCAGTAAGGATTTTAGGTTGAGAACTAAAAGTTACCATTTCTGGACGCTTTGTGGTTCTAAGTCTGCAGGGGCTCGTACCCCCCAAATAGTTCATTCAGGTTTGTCCTACCATGTACTTTTTGTTGAAAGCTAGATCGGCGAAAGTAATGCTTTCGTTGTTTTTCCTCTTTTACTAATGCAATAAGTCGTTTATTTTCAGGATTTCCTCCCTCACTACCTGTCGCGCAATCCTCTTTAGCCCTTGGGAGACAATATCAGGGATGTACACTGTATAAAAAGGTTTTCAAACATGGGGGCCCAATGTCAGAGTCTTATTAACCGTTAACAGCATACCAGAATGTTCTATTAAGAGTAAAAATATTCAGCCGATGAATATTCTCCTTAACATTAGCCAACTTAAATAAAATTACTAACAACAATGTTAATTTATCGTTCACGTGACTGCAAGTTACTGCTCGATACAGGACTTGCCTGGTGTCATTCATCTCAAATCTTGAATGAAACTCAAATGTATATTGAATGTACAATATTCATGTACCATGTATGCATCGTACGGAATTACAATCATTAACAATAAAAATGAAACTTAGACAATGTTCCTTCAAATAACAGTTCATTGCCTACACAGTCATCATAAGTTCAATCACATTCATATGCCAATAACAGGTGCTTTTTCCAGCAAGGTTAACCTTCCATTTCCAGGAGTGACCAATTCTAAATTTTTCCTTAAAATCAAAACACTTTTTTACATTGAAAAGTGGCAAAATATGAGAAAAATATCAACTAGGGGACCTTTGTTTGCCTGTTTGTTTAATTTTTAACAGTCAATCTTCAGACCTAAAATGCCAAGAGATGTGTACAAAACAAACTGTGGAAAACAGATATTTGGATGACTATAGGCCATGATATTCATTTATACTTCATTTTCATAAATTATCTTCAAGCAGACAGAAGGCAAGATATGAGAAAAATATCAACTACAGGGCACTGTTTGTAGTTAGACTAAAATTAATAATCAAATCTTCCCTGAAACTGATAAATGTGCTAAGGTAAAGCAAGTCCCTATAACAAGTCAGAAAGATTGAATTCTGGATTCCTCATTACGTTTCTGATAAGCACAAGTGCACACTTGACTGGGATTTTTGTAAATTCAAGTTTTAAGTTCCACATCCTTAGACAAAAGTGCAAGTATTAAAACAAAGAAATTAGCCTGTAATCCTTGCACCACATTCATAAAAGCAGAAAAACCCAACAAACTCGCACTTGGTAAACTTGAACGGCCCACTGACAGACTTGGATTTGACCTCATTTTGTTATTAATTTACTATCATTTGACTTGAACTCAGTTAACTCAAACTCCCCTTTACCTTGAACTAATTTTAAATTCCCTTAGCTGAAATTTACCTTCCTAATAACTCAAACTTTGAATTAAAACATTGG